GTTGAGCACCTCAGCTTCCTGGCGCTGGGTTCTGCTCCAATGCCAAGTGCTAGAAGAGTCTGGAACGTTGGCTGCTCCTTGAATAACTACTTAGATTGTAATTCAGGACTAAGCTAATGCGCTCTCTGTTGCGGTGCAGTGATTGCAAAGCGCCTCGCGCTCTGCGCAGCAAGATGCACCCATTTCAAGCTGACTGCGCCTGCGTTCAAGACAGCTGCACATGAAACCAGCAAGACTTAGCCATCTTCCTCACACTGTTCAATGTAGAATCAAATGCAACAGAAAAAAGAACGTGAAGTGGAAACTGAAGTATAATGTTCTGAAGGGATTATACCTTGGCTCTGGGGTTCGGGACATCAGGAGCCACAGGCAACCCATCAGTAGCCTACATGATGCTACATGCACAAACGAAACAAAAGGACTTGCTCCTGCTAAGGATTCTAGTGCCCATCCCGCGCATGGCAGGGTTGAAGTCCGCCTGCAAGTGTATCAACAGGATGGCAGGGAGCAGGATTCTATTGCTGCAGGTCTCTTGCCAGGGTCAGCGTAGCATGGGAGAACTGTTTCTGCACATGAATGTACTGCTGGTTTGCTCAACTCACTGTTGCCGGCTCACGTTTCAAATCTGAGCCACAGAGCTGCAGAAAAACCAACAAGCTCAGCACTAAGCATGCGGCGCAACATGCTGGCGCATACGGTGGCTTCTACAATGCACGGCTGCAAGATATCTCGCATCCAAATCTCAAGTCTGTCAGTTCCAGTCCAGCTTGCGCCCGAATTCGGTGAGACTCTACACCTAAGCAAGATTTCATAATTGAATTCATGTATCATTGTCGAAATCGAAGTGAGGATGTCATGGAGACGCTGGCCCAATCCCTTCTTGTCCGGCTTCTTGTCCGGCCTCCTTTTGGCTACTGGTATACTATGAGATCTGGCCGTTGTTATCTATGCATTGGGTTCTGGCATACGTGAAAGATGTCAAAGTGTTCTTAAACCACAGGCAAGTCCTGCGCAAGATAGCGGAGCGCGTCTGCGAAGGCCTCGTCGGTGATCTTCACCAAGCTCTCGAGGTCCGAATCCAGGTCAGTCAAGGCAACCCGCTCCCCAGCTCGTTTGGCATATGCCCGTGCGTAGCTGGAAGCTGCCTGCCACAACTCTCCAGGGCTCCGGCGCAGAAGTTGGCCAAAACTCTGTTCATCCAAAACCAGGACCTCGCAGCATGCCTCCTCGATGCCATCCACTGTCAAAGTACCCTGGTGCTGCCAGGCTTCCAACCAAAGACCTCCTTCTGAGATGTGTTGGCCAAGCTTCACCTTCAGGGGCGTTCTTGCCAGCCGCTTGCTCGCCCCCGCGCGACTGGCGGAGTCTAGCAAGTAGGTGGCAGAGCCTCGTGTGACCATGTACATCCGGGTGGCAGTGGCTGAGGCATAGAAGATGGCCTGTGTGGGGCTGTAGAAGAACTGCTGGAAACAGTCGACCACTTGCCGAATGGCTTGCGGATGCGCCACATCGAGCTCGTGGAAGAAGGGATGAAGAGTCAAGAATGGCTGCCCCAACTCCTGAACGAGCTCCTGCTGAATCTGTGCAGGCAATACGCCCAAAGGCGACATTTTGCTCTCCTGCTGGATTGAATGTGCTGGCCCTGACTGCGCAGCCAGGCTTCGAGGGCCCTGCCATCCAAGGAAGCGTGGCCCGGGGGCAAGTGCCTTGCGAGGCTCGGGCTCCAACTCCAGCCAGCTCCAGACATGCAGCTGCAGACGGCTGGGCACCTTGCCGCACATGTTCAGGTATGCTCTGCATGCCAACTGTCGGCTGCACCACTCCCCACGCAAGTCCCGAAGCCGCATGACGAACGAGGCAACCTGGGTCAGGAGGAATATGCAAGCCAGCAGAGCCAGGACATGAACTGCCGTTGTCAAGACCATGTCGGGCACGCTCTTTGGATTCACAGGACTTGGCCCCAACCCTGGCGTCAACTGTGCCAGGGCCCATAATAATGCACTCAGGTACATGGAGATGCCATCCTGCTGCTGTTGGACCTGCGCATACTCCAGGAGCCATGTGTTCTCATTGCCGCCGGTGGCAGATCCAAGGTAGTAAAGCGCACACGCAATGATGTGAGCACCTATCAGCAAAAGGAGCGTGCTCATCGCCATGGTGCCAAAGGCGCGATAAACCTCGGATCTGATGCGGGCCCGGACGCCAAGGAGATTTCGGCTGATACGAAGACCTCGAAGTAGGCGTGCTGCCTGGATCCCAAGGTAGACATCCTTGTTCAAGACAAGGCTGCGGAAGGACTGGTAGGCAGGCTGTGCAAGGTCATAGAAGGTAGTGAGAACTGCTAGATCAAGGCAGGTCGTGAACAGGTCCAAGAAAAGGAAACCCTGTGTCAAGTATCTCCAGACCATCGCCTTGCGGTTCGTGTGCAGCACACCTCCTGATGAGAAGCTGGTGCAGAAGAGCGTCAGAAATATTGTGAGCGCCCAGTAGATCGGCATCACCCAAGTCATCACCTCGGATACATTATCGACGGCCCCGAAGGCCACCTGCCACGGTGTCATCACCAAGTCATAGAGCAGCAGGAGCAACCCTAGGACATCCCACACCATCTTCCTGAATTGCTGTTAAGGGACTTAAGGTAGGTTACCTTAATGGGTATATGTAGTAATTAACATGGTTTCCCCTATGTAGGAACTTAAATTAAGTTCCGTAACAGCAACCCAGCTTCTTCCGGGACAGCTCATGCATGCACAGGCACGAACAGCGAGGAGGCCGTGAGGCCTTGTCAAATTCCTCGGCGTTCTCGCCCCAATCGGCTTGTCCGGCCTGGAGCTCCTTCGCAAGAATATACAGGGTTATGTTGGGGTTATATTGGGATAATGGAAAAGAAAATGGAAACTACTATAATGGATTACATGGGGTTTAAGGTTTAGGGCCCCTTAAGTAGATAGAATAGGGAGTATCTGGGATCTTATCATTATATCCCCAAATCCATATTCTGTGTACGTAAGGGGGACTATATGCAATCCCTACATGTAAGCCCTATATCTGGTAGTTTCCATGTCTGTTTCCGTCCCCCTTTCCATTAGATTTCCCATTATTCTTTCCCTAAACCTAAGCCCTAGAATCTTACAGACGTGCGCACAGAAAATCTGCGGGTTTGACATTGAAGGCCATAATTTCAAACAGGAGTGCAACTGCTCCAGCCTACGCAACCAGCTAACTAGCTCCTGCACCCATTGGCTGCGAGCAGAAAAGCTGGAGGCAGGGGCTGGTCCCAGCCTGTCGGCTCCCACCCTGTCGGGAGCGTCCACATCCGGGCAAAGGGGATCTTCCCCAGGCCCTGGGATGTCTATGCGCTGCTCCTCGGGCTGGAACCTCACTCCCATGTCTGGCTCCATCTGTGTTGCCATTGCCAAAGGAGTTGGCTCAGCATCGACATCCCCAAACACCTCCTCACTCTCTGCCTCTTCTGTCTGGCACTCTGCACTGGCGACGGAACCTGGCTCACGGGCCTTGACGCGCAGCTTTCTGAGCTCTTCCACCAGGCCTTCGTTCTCCGATTTGAGCTCCGCGGTGGCCTGCGCAACTTCCTCGGAGAAGCGCTCCACCAAGGTCCTGAGACCATCCTGCAGCATGCACACCGTGTCGATGAAGGCAGCGGAAGGCTTCACGGGCTTTGGCTTCTCCTCCTGTATGGGTAAGGGCCCAGCAGAATTGGTGATAACACCAGCATTGGCTGCGGGCTTCAGGCTGGGGTTTGGTGGAGGGCTGGCGGATGGGGGGCTCTGAGCAGGCGGCTGCCCTGGCTGCCCTGGCTGGCCGGGCTGGCCTGGTTGGCCGGGGCCTGGCTGGGGCTGGCTTGGGGTCTTCTCGAGCAAGTCATTCAACTCCACGAGCAAGGCATCAAGGACCTGCAAACCCGGCGGGAATCCAGTAAAAAGCTGCGGGGACAACTTGCTGGAACAACCAAGTAACTAGCTAGCAACCTTTGCCATAAACTATTCCCAGGCCTCTTGCTTGGAGGGCGACATGCTTCGTGGCTCCGGCGACGTGCCAGCTGAGGTCGGAGGCACGTGTGTGGAGGGGACGGGCGAGGGGGATGAGGCCGGTTGGGGTTGCTGCGTGTCCATGGTCCGCAATATGGGCTTCGTGGTGCTTGTCGGCGGGGGCGGCAAGCCCTCAGCGGCAGCCTGCTTCGCTTCTCGAAGCTGGGTCAAGTATTTCAGCTGCTGTTGCTGCTGACGGATCTGCGGAGATGGCATGGCCTCGGGGTCAACCAACGACTCGCAGAGGTCGTCCAGCTCGGCATCAGAAGGTTTGATCCTGTGCGACCTTCTGGGTTTTGAAAGGCGACCCTCCAAGCGCTCACAAAGAGCAAGGAGGCTATCAAGCTCCAGCTCCTGCAAGCGGGCAATCAAACGGGGTGGAGCATTGGGCAGAGCCTGCGCGGAGAGCTCGGAAACTGAGGTAGGTCCAAACGACACATTCCTCTTGAAGTCCGACCGCGGCACCTCGTTCCGCACTGATACTAAGGCTGCCTGGGAAGGCCTTGCAAAGCCACAATGGCGACAAAAGCGGACGCCCTCTGTAAAGCCAGCCCCGCAGTTGGGGCAGCTTATGTGATCTGGGATGTTTGAGGGAACGCCGGGGAGGGAGGGCACCGAGAATTGCTGGAGGGACTTCTTGGGGGCCTGGAGCCTAGCCAGATCATCGTTGTTTAGCTGTTTCGTGGAGAGGTGGAGCATAGGCCAGCAAGAAGCAGAAGCCACGCTCTCTCTCGGATAAGACTGTACGCAGCCTGGAATAAATGGCGCTGCGCTGTGATCTCACTAGCTCTCCCCTAAAGGGAGGCTTGAGCTCTTCCTGCTGCGGGACACTCACCTGCGTCTCAGAAACGTTCGTCGATCTGGTCTACTCCTCTGCGTGCGTAAACAAATAACAACAACACCAAGTTCAAGTTCAACTACACTTTGCTTCCAGGCTTCTGAAGCCCCAGCCTCGCTGCTGCAGTGCCAACACATGGCTGCCGGCCTGGCGGAAGACAGCTGTCAGTCATCAGCAGTAACCGGTAACCATTCCGGTGTGAAGACGCGCGCAAGTTTGAAGCAATCTGGGTAGCTGACGCCAGCGCCCAGGTCCAGGGCCCTCCCCCCTTGACGCAGGCACAGCTCCAGTGCACGCCTCTCCTGCTACGCATCAAGGGACTTTCTGCGGGTGTTGTCTAGAGATGTGTATGCATCTACGCTTAAGCCCAGGTTTCCTATCTTCAGTTACCATCTGCATTGGTGCACAACTGTCTGACTAACACATTCCAAGGCAAACGTCTGTCCAGTGCTGGCATCTCAGCTGGCCGTCGAAAGAAAAGTTCCTGGGCATAACAAAGACCGACTTCTATGCCCCCACAGCTCCAGACTTGTTTCACGCAATCCAACCACAGCATCTAGAAAGCATGATTGGAAGGTCAGAATTTGTATAGCAGCCCTGGCCAAACCATCCTGGCCAGTCCAAAATCGTAGCTATGTCAACCGTGCCCCTCCACCTGTTAATGAATGTGAATACTTATTAATATTGACTATATTACTATAAGACTCATGAATATTGTAAATACTTATGAATATTGACTTTACTACTAATACTCTAATGGATTTGGAACCCCAGTAGAAATTACAATTTCAGCTAACTATTAGGATTGTTGGCAACAGAAATTAATATGTATTTTCAGGAACCTTGTCGAATACTCATGAATCATACGAGGGCTGTGCCGGTGGGAGTGTCTCAGGCTCGCCGGGCCGCAAGTTCCTGAGAGCCCAGCTGTTCCGTAAGATCACTTCTCAGCTGATATGCAAGATGCATTGGCTTCTCCAATTTTCCCCTACAATAGTAACTTCCAGTCTAAACCCTAAATAATAAGCCCCAATACACCCCTATGTCAATCAACACAGCGAAGCTGCGACCAGTACAGCAGCGGCAGGTCGGGCTGAGCAGGGGCTGTCCCAGCCTGCGGATACAGCATACTTTCAATTTGGGGTTTCCTAAAAGTGGGGGTTACCTTTTTGGGGTCCCAATAAGGGCTGTGGTATTTTGAGGTCTATATTGGGGTCCCTTATTGCAACTAAGGCCTCGCAGTGCTCGTATGTAGGGAGTAAGGAAACATGTCATACAGGGACTATATAGGGATTGTATTCCCTTATTCAAGTACTAACTTGCTAGCCACGAGTAAGTCAGTATATGCAGAGCACTCCCTTGGACAGCGCTGCCGGGATTCACACCTGAACTCTCTGCCAATGATCAAGCAAAGCTCGTCCCAGGGGGGCCCAGGCCTCAGACGTCAGGGCACACTGTGCTTAAGCAGCCACCGATTCAACAACCACAGCGATCCACAGAATCTTCACCATGCAAGACTGCTGCAGCCTCATTGTCTGCTGCACAGGAATTTGGGGAGCAGAAGGAGCTTGAAGATCTATGCTGGAGTGCCTGAGGGAGGCACCGGGCAGAAGCGCGGCACCTCGCCGGTGCCAAGCCTGCCACCGTGACCAACTCCAAGGAGCAGCTTCACTGCATGAAGACTGGCTCATCGCAATGCTACAGTGGGCTGTGCAATCTGGCTCCTGTAATAGACCATGGTTGGCGCCTCAAGGCCTTCGTAGCCACCCGCGCTCGGGGCATAGCGAACAATCGAAATCCAAATGCATGCCCTTTGCTTCGATTTCATGGACAGAAACTAGGGGCGAAAGGGGTGACATGTGCAGTCTACATTTCAGGCGTTGGGGGGCTCAGTGCTGAAGGTCATACGTGAGTATTGGACGGCTCCAAAGCTTGGCCATTTGCATTCGTTGAAAGTTCTCTGCCATGCGTGGGATTGCCTTTAAGCGGAACGGAAACTCGCAAAAGTGGGCAGAATGAGAGCCCAAAACCCGGGCACCTCGCATGCTTGACCTTTAGGCTTCTCTGGTGCAGGAACAAGACACAAGCAAATCGGGACTTGGTGAGTGAGTCAGGTTTCGACACATGGTTCCATCAGACAGGATTATAGCTGGGGTTTGTCTCTGGGAAGCTGCAGCACCAAAAAAAACAACTAAAGTTCAGTAGGGTCCTGTAGTCAAATGGCACCAACATCAAGCGGGCGAACTTCGCGCTTTTGGTTCTGGACGTCGGTCTAAGCACGCGTTCGAGCTGCGCCTGGGCAAAGAAGGTGCCATTCGATGCTGTGGTAAGCTTGAGTTCTTCGAAGCAGAATCATAAGATCTTTCGGGTGCTCCATGCTTGGCTAACTCACGTGTGACTTCAAGTCATGCAGTGGCAGTGGCGGGAGCGCATCCACAAGAGGGCGCACGCAATCACAATGAGTTTTGACATGCTGCCGGATGCTGTATCCTGAAGTAATATGAGAACCGAATTAATCAATCCATCGTGCTAGGGCCTAAGTGGCGACCTCCATCCAAATCGTTTAGGCAGCGAGAAGAGATGGAGAGATGCTTGTTACACGCCTTTCGTGGTTTTACTCATGTTATCTTCAACACTACTGTTCAAGTTTCGTCCACCAGTCATCCGTACGAGCTAGAGTCATGGTCCTATAGAGCCAGAAGGCATAGACATGGTGATGCTTAGGATGTCCATATTCCTATCAATCAACATACCGTTACTATTGACCATAGCTCCGTCCAACCCCAAAATGATAGTTTCCCAAAATAAGGGGACCCCAATATAGACCCCAAAAACTATAGTCCTTATTATAGGAAGCCCCAAAATGGTACCCCTAATTTTGGGAAACCCCCAAATCCCATGAGAAACCCAGACCTGCCTTGACCCCTCACGCCAAGAGCCGTGGGGCCAGCAGCGCAGCAGGGCGGTGGCGAAGTCTGAAGGGAGAGAGAAGCAAGGATATGTGGTGGAAGGGCCCCAGAAAGCTCTGGTGTAGATTGAGATCATGAGTGGAGCAGCCCTTGGGGATGCAGTGGGGTTCTTGGGACAATGCCATATCATTATCGCAACTTATTTGGCTCGAACAGGTTTGCAGAAGTATCAGGAGTTCATCGAGTTTCTATACGGCCTTTTTGAGTCACATGGAACTCATATATTTGGTAGGTAGACTGTCAGGGCCCCCTTGCTACCCCATATGCAGATGAGTTGTGGTACTTGTCTGATGCGAAGGCAAATCTGGCAACTATTCCCTGCTCAGCATGTTCTAGTAATTACTATACTACTACTACTTCTACTGGTGCCATACTACTATAGGATAGAATATGGCTTTGAGCAGATTATGATGAGATCCCCATATACCCTATATTCTATCTACTTGAGGGGGAATATAACCCCAAACTATATACCCTTTTATAATATGGTAGTTTTCATTTTCTTTTCCATTATCCCTATAAAACCCCAATAATATACCCTATATTCTATCTACTTAAACAACGTGAACGTTTGCTACTATTTTGGGGAGCCATCCTCCGGAGCTGCGCGGTGGGCTGTCACAGGCTGGCCTTAGGGGAGGAGCAGCTTGGCCAAGGCGGCTGAGCACTGTGGGTGGGGTTGGATGGGAGTTATCTACGTAAAGGGCGCGTGTAGATTACAGGGGCTAGATCCGGCTATGTAGGGATGTATGGGGTTTAAGGTTTCTGAAAACAAGCAGCCCAATTTTGGGAGACCCTATGATTATCATTAGTATGTTGGGGTTTGCTTTGGGGGATAACATGGGGGGCAGGTGTTGATTCTTGGGCTGGAGTTTGCCCGTAGACAAGTTGCGGGAGCAAAATGCAGCCCAGGATTGAGTGAAGGCCCATCGCCTACCAAGAGGCACATGATAAATTGCAAAGAACAGAACAAAAGACAATGACGACAGCAAGCACCGAAACCGACATTGTAGCATGTGCCTAGCAGGGTGTTCTAAAACAGAAAAACAGAAAGCGACGAACGATCGCACCGCAGAAGATATCCAAGATCTCACACATGAACTAGTCTAAACTCCTAGTGCTGCCCTTGATAGTAACCCCTATAGTACTCTCGTATATGATCCCCTATATAACCCACTTTCAGGAGTTTAGACTAAAGCTTATATGAATGTAAGAGGTTGTGCATTGTTCTTCGAATCTGTTGCCTGTAACGCGTCCACCACGTTTGGCGCCCTAGACCCAATGTCAATGTAAGCTTCCATTTCATGTCGTTCCATGTTTTCCCATTTGCTTCTCTATCATTGAAGTTGTATTCCTATAATACCCCCTCTATACTCCCAGGATATGCTCTATGGTAGGATTGTGGCTTCGATTTCTTTCCCGTGATTCCCTATATTAAAACCCCTACCGGTACATATTCATCACTATATTACTTAAACCTGCGTTCTTTCCATTCGGTTTTCCATTCCCGGGCGCTACCGTAGAATCCCTAAGTATGACCTGGTATAGTCCGTGTATAATAGGGGTAACCATACCCATTATATGCCCCATATAGTGCCCATTATATAACCCCATATACCGCGTAACCCCTTCACCCTTGTTTGCTGCTGGACTCGTTCAGGCACCCTAAACCTGCATATTAGTGGTACGGACCCGCCACGCAGCCACGGCACGTACAGACTCCACATCGTCGTTGCCAAGGAGGAGCTCCATGGCAGCCTCGTTCAACGCTCCCGCGATAGGTTGTAGGGATGGTTTAGGTGTTTAGGGGTTAGGGGGTTTAGGGTTCGGGCTTTTTGGTTTAGGATTTGGGGTTGTGGGAGGTTCTGAAAATGCGGGGCTTTGAGCGAGGCTAGGCATGTATTGTAGTTTCCCAGTATAAGGGGGCCCCATTTTTGACCCAAATCTGCTACAATCATTGTTAGGAGGACCCCCAAAAAGGTACCCCAATTTTAGGAACCGCCCAGATAAGCTAGTGGTGATGGGGGAGGTCCCTATTAGAACTGCTTTTTGCTTGTTTAGAGAAGTGCCCAAGTATCCTGATCAAACGGAAACTGCTCTCAAGCCTTCAGCCTACAGACCCCTATCCTCTCACTATTTGTTGTACTCTCCACTTAATAATGATATACCCGGCCCCCTAATGAAAAATGTTCCCCCATAGCTCAGTTGGAAGAGCATCTGACTGCAGAGCTTTGC